TCTTCACCGTCTGCCTTGGACTTAACTATCTTGAGTAGTTTTGTGACATCTGTAAACTTTGTCACCTCTCTGTTTACCCCTTTTTTCAGATCGTTTACAAATATATTGAATAGGACAGGGCACAGTACAGATCCCTGGGGGACAGTACTATTTACCTCTCTCTATTCTGAAAATTGACCATTTATTCCTACCCTTTGTTTCCCATCTTTTAACCCGTTACTGATCCATGCGAGGACCTTCCCTCTTATCCCAGTCTAGTGCCAGAATCCATTGCTCCACGTTCCTAGCCCAAGGGGCTCTCTCTACATATTGTACCACGTGGGACTGCAGGTGCAGGCAGGGCGAGGTGGCTGCCAGGGCAGAGAAGGTTCTTCCCACATGGAGCATTTTCAGTGTAGCATCAGCCACTCAGCAGCAAACCGCTCCCACTGGGGACCCAGGTGTGCACTCTGTCCCTGCCAACGCGGGGCCCCTGAATGGGCTGCCCTAAGGCAGCAGGCTGCTCTGTGGTGCCTGCTGGAGCCCCCACATGTGGCACTGGAGTGCGTGGATTAGAAGATGTGCCCCCTATCCAGGAGGCCTGCAGTGCTAAGCTCTCTGCACTGGCGTGGCAGCTCAGCCGGGCACGGCCCCTCTTTACCCTCCTCATGAGAGCTGCTGGCTCATTTGGGAATGGTTCTGGTGGCCCCAGCAGCGGGAACCCCAGCTCCTGCTCCCCTCCTGGAACCGGTTTCTCTCTCCTTCCCCACCAGCTGGCTACAGGTGAGGAAGGGACTGACTTAAGAAAGCAAACGCCATTGAACCCAGCAAGGAAATGCCCTGCCTGCTAATGGCCCCCTTTCTGGCTGCCCCAGGCCCCTGATCTCCCGCTCAGCGCTGCGTCAGCACAGAGCTGATCATGCACAGCCACACAGTGTTTACCTGCACATTTAACTCCGGTATGAAACTGCAGAAAAACCTGACAGTCTCTGGATTAAGTTTAGAAGTGTGAGCAACAAGGGTGATGTCGTGGTGGGAGTCTGCTATATCTCCCTGGTCTGGTGGTTTGAGGTGAACAAGGCTTTCTTCAGGCAACTAACAGGTCCTGGTTCTCATGAGAGACTTCAATCAGCCGATATCTGCTGGAAGAGCAATACAGCGGTGCACAGACAATCCAGGAAGTTTTGGGAAAGTGTAGGGGACAATTTCCTGGTGCAAGTGCTGGAGGAACCAACTAGGGGCAGAGCTTTTCTTGACCTGCTGCTCACAAACAGGGAAGAATTAGTAGGGGAAGCAAAAGTGGATGGAAACCTGGGAGGCAGTGACCATGAGATGGTCGAGTTCAGGATCCTGACACAAGGAAGAAAGGAGAGCAGCAGAATACGCATCCTGGACTTCAGAAAAGCAGACTTTGACTCCCTTAGGGAACTGATGGGCAGAATCCCCTGGGAGAATAACATGAAGGGCAAAGGGGTCCAGGAGAGCTGGCTGTATTTGAAAGAATCCTTATTGAGGTTGTGGGAACAAACCATCCCGATGTGTAGTAAGAATAGTAAATATGGCAGGCGACCAGCTTGGCTTAACAGTGAAATCCTTGCTGATCTTAAACACAAAAAAGAAGCTTACAAGAAGTAGAAGATTGGACAGATGACCAGGGAGGAGTATAAAAATATTGCTAGAGCTTGCAGGGATGTAATCAGGAAGCCCAAGGCACAATTGGACTTGCAGCTAGCAAGGGATGTTAAGAATAACAAGAAGGGTTTCTTCAGGTATGTTAGCAACAAGGTGGTGGTCAGGGAAAGTGTGGGCCCCTTACTGAATGGGGGAGGCAACCTAGTGACAGAGGATGTGGAAAAAGCGAATGTACTCAATGCTTTTTTGCCTCTGTCTTCACGAACAAGGTCAGCTCCCAGACTGCTGCACTGGGCAGCACAGCATGGGGAGGAGGGGACCAGCCCTCTGTGGAGAAAGAAGTGGTTCAGGACTATCTAGAAAAGCTGGACGAGCACAAGTCCATGGGGCCGGATGCGCTGCATCCGAGGGTGCTAAAGGAGTTGGCGGATGTGATTGTAGAGCCATTGGCCATTATCTTTGAAAACTCATGGCGATCGGGGGAGGTCCTGGATGACTGGAAAAAGGCTAATGTAGTGCCCATCTTTAAAAAAGGGAAGAGGGAGGATCCGGGGAACTACAGGCCAGTCAGCCTCATCTCAGTCCCTGGAAAAATCATGGAACAGGTCTTCAAGGAATCAATTCTGAAGCACTTAGAGGAGAGGAAAGTGATCAGGAACAGTCAGCATGGATTCACTAAGGGCAAGTCATGCCTGACTAACCTGATTGCCTTCTATGAGAAGATAACTGGCTCTGTGGATGAGGGGAAAGCAGTGGATGTGTTATTCCTGGACTTTAGCAAAGCTTTTGATACGGTCTCCCACAGTATTCTTGCCAGCAAGTTAAAAAAGTATGGGCTGGATGAATGGACTGTAAGGTGGATAAAAAGCTGGCTAGATCGTCGGGCTCAACGGGTAGTGATTAATGGCTTTATGTCTAGTTGGCAGCCGTTATCAAGCGGAGTGCCCCAAGGGTCGGTCCTGGGGCCGGTTTTGTTCAATATCTTCATTAATGATCTGGAGGGTAGCCTGGATTGCACCCTCAGCAAGTTCGTGGATGACACTAAACTGGGGGAAGAGGTAGATAAGCTGGAGGGTAGGGATAGGGTCCAGAGTGACCTAGACAAATTGGAGGATTGGGCCAAAAGAAATCTGATCAGGTTTAACAAGGACAAGTGCAGAGTCCTGCACTTAGGACAGAAGAATCCCATAGGGACTGAATGGCTAGGCAGCAGTTCTGCAGAAAAGGACCTAGGGGTTACAGTGGACGAGAAGTGGGATATGGGTCAACAGTGTGCCCTTGTTGGCAAGCAGGCCAACGGCATTTTGGGCTGTATAAGTAGGGGCATTGCCAGCAGATCAAGGGACGTGATCATTCCCCTCTATTCGACATTGGTGAGGCCTCATCTGGAGTATTGTGTCCAGTTTTGCTCCCCACACTACAAGAAGGATGTGGAAAAATTGGAAAGAGTCCAGCGGAGGGCAATGAAAATGGTTAGGGGGCTGGAGCACATGGCTTATGAGGAGAGGCTGAGGGAACTGGGATTGTTTAGTCTGCAGAAGAGAAGAATGAGGGGGGATTTGATAGCTGCTTTAAACTACCTGAAAAGGGGGTTCCAAAGAGGATGGATCTAGACTGTTCTCAGTGGTAGCAGATGACAGAACAAGGAGAAATGGTCTCAAGTTGCAGTGGAGGAGGTTTAGGTTGGATATTAGGAAAAACGTTTTCTCTAGGAGGGTGGTGAAGCACTGGACTGGGTTCCCTAGGGAGGTGGTGGAATCTCCTTCCTTAGAGGTTTTTAAGGCCCGGCTTGACAAAGCCCTGGCTGGGATGATTTAGTTGGGGATTGGTCCTACTTTGAGCAGGGGGTTGGACTAGATGACCTCCTGAGATCCCTTCCAACCCTGATATTCTATGATTCTATGTAGCAAGGAGGGCCGTGCTGGAGAGTCTGAGCAATGTGGACTGTCTGGAGCACGTGTGGTCAGGTCAGTAGAAATACTAGCCATGGTGCAGCCGCCTTCCCGAGGTCTGTCTGTCCGTCTACATGTGATGGGGGTGGGTAACGTGCAGCACTCCAGGTTGGCTGCCTGTTGCCTCTCAGAGGAGAGACGCTCACCCTGGTATCTTGCTTTATGCTGCTGAACAGACACAGGCCCTGATCCTGCAGTTGGAGCCACGCGGTGGGCCCCAGCACTGCATGGGGTCTGATCGGAGTCACTGGTCTGTGTGGGCACAGTGGCTCGGATGGCAGGAGCGCGGGCTGGTTCCGGAGCAGCCGTTTTTGAGTGGTGTCGATCCTACCCGGGCCACTGCCAGCTGCAAAGGTGATGGGAACCTCTTCACCGCCAGCGGGCATACAGGCTCCAGAGAGAGGGTGCTGGCCCAGGCCGCCAAAGGGCAGTGCTGACCTGACCCGCCCTCCGCCATAGAGGTTCTCTGGCAGGAGCGTAACATTGCGTCTCCACAACAGAACCCCTGGGGGTGGGAGGCCAGGGCATCCCCTCCAGCCCTTCCGGGAGTGAATTCCCCTGGAGCACAGGCAGGTGAGCGCGGGCAGGGAAGTGGGACTCGGTCGATCTGCCCCACCAATTGCAGCTCCCCCTGGGGGTACTCTGCTGGGATGTGATTAACCTCTATTGGCGTGTGTGCTGTTTCAGGGTAATACGGTATCACCGATAAAATGATTGTTAATTATTATTAGTTGTGTTTACCAGAGTGCCTGGGATCCCTAGCCAGGACCCCACTGTGTCAGGTGCTGCACCGCCACAGAACAAGGAAACAGCCCCTGCCTCAAGACCTTATGTCGAACACACTAGCCTGTTAGCCCAAGCTGATTGGAACTGAAAGCATCACACGTGTTATCGGTCCATGACCTGCCTGCATTTTGTGTTTAACGTTCACTGAGGGAAGCAAATGCCGCCTCGCTAAGCTGGGCTCTGTTTGAATCGAGTCTTGCTAGTTTTGTCCACTTAAAAGTTAAAAGGAGAGCAGCGATTTCTCCCCGGGCAGCTCGTCAGCTGTCCGTGCCCAGAGTGAGCAAGCCCTGACCAGTGCCCTACTGACACGCACCAAAGTCTGCCCGGATGCTGCCAGCCCTGTGAGCACGAGCTCCTGCCGATCCCCGGGGAAGTTCTGTGCATGGAAGACCTGGCAGGATCAGGCCCAGAACTAACAGCAAGTCAGTTCCAAGAGGATGATGCACAAGCTACTCCCACTGTCGGTGGCATTTTTGCAAACTGTGTGGCAAGGTTTATTTTTTCCCTGAGCATGCTAGCCGTGAGCTGCAAGGCTCTCTCTGAGCTGCTTGTGTAATAATCTCCCCGTGGCAGGAAACCCTGCGCAGGGACAGCGTTCCGCCTGTGTCAGATTTTCAGAGGTTTTCTCCACCTTCTCCCCCACCCCTCCAGGTCTGTCGGAGCTCGATCTTCAGGCAGAGGCAGAAGATAAGGAGATTGGAACTCACCAGGCTCTGCTGTCAGTCAGCTGTGCCTCTCTGAAGTCACGCCCTGCCTCCACAAAGGATGCTGAGACTGGAAGCAGTTTGCTTCCTTTCCCAGAGCCTGCACCCACACAATCCCTTATGGACCTGCCAACTGAGGGAGAGAAACTGGAGCACTACACCCGAGCTAGGCCCCGACCCCACCGCAGGAACAAGCAGCCTCCAAGCAAGCCACATGTAAGCCCGCTTTTCATTTTTCAATCAGGCAGGGCTTAATTATGTTGTGGGGAAATATCTTTAATCAGCATTTATTCCAGCCCTGAAAGATGAAGCATACTGAGCAGCAGCTGCTTTATTATGCAGTCATCAGCTGAGCTTCGGCGGCTGCTGGTTTGCACCTTAGAGGAGGAGGTTATGTGGGTGAGGGTCTGTGGTGTTTTTATATTGCCGGTGGATTGCTAACATCTTTCCTGAGATGCTGCAGCAACATTGTAGTTGTGACACAAGCAGAGAAGCTGCAGTCTGCATGCAGGGGCTTGGCCCATTTGCAGTGTCGCTTTCTGTCTGAGTATATTGATTTGAAACCTTTTTGGCCGGCTTGAAAGTCTCTGGTGGGGTGTATTTACCACCTACTGGAGCCTTCAGCAAAACTGGGCAATTTGCTTTAACTCTTCGATGCTTGTTTGCCCCAAGAATACACTGGCTTGATGAGAAGGCCCTTACCCTTTTGGAGGGATTTGGAATTAACCGTGTCTTTTCCACAGTAAAAAAGCTCACTGACTGGTATCCGGCTCGGATACTTCTGACTCATTTGATTAGTTTCAAAAGTGACAGGATCTGCCCCCTTTCCATCAATCAGTTCATTTATAACTCAGCCTTAGGCCTTGGGGGAAGGCAAAATAACTTCGGGGGGCTGTGGAGTTAGAGCCTAAGTCAAGCGAGAGATCACCGTTTCTGGAGGAGGTGGGTAGTCATTTAGGCCAGACTAGCCCATCTCACGGCAGGATGGTTTTAAAAAGCTGCGGAGCAGAGTTTGGTTCCCTTGTCAAGCTGTTTCTGTTAATTGATCATTGGCTGGCTTCATTTTCAAAGCAGGGGCTTCTGTCTCCATGCAGAATGAACCCAGGGTTTGCCCTGCACACAGGGAGAGTCTGGTGCTCCCCAGCCCCTCCCGGGAGCAAGCGTCAGCTCTCGGTGCAGGGTGTGTGGCAGGGCTCAAAGCCCCGTCCGTGGGCTTTGTTCTGAGCGAGGGTAATGGGGGTGGTGCCCCTCCAGGTGGCCCGCTCCAGGGTTCATGTCCGAGGAGGTGCGGCCCACCCTCAGCACCCCGCTCCGCACTGACGCCACCTCCCTGGCACGTAGGGGACACAGAGGCTCCCTTTGCACAGCCCACCCTCTGCCAAGGGTGAATTCCGCCCCGGGACCTGCCTGGCATCAAACCTGGCACCTGCATTCCGAGCCCTGCGGAGCTGCCACCTGGCGCGGGCGTTCGGAGAGTCCCTGGCTGAGGGCCGGCACCGGGCACTGGGAGTCGTACTGGGCTGGCCTCTCCTAGGCACGCTTTAGGCATATCCTGTGGGCCAAAGGGGGTGGATGGGATTTTACCAGAGGGTTCAGCAGACTGCCGCTAATTTGACTTCTCTCCAGTGTCAGGGTTAGTGGCTGTGTCCCTGCTCCGCGGCTGTTCTGGCAGACAGGGTACCCCTCTGAGCTCACTTCTCGCCTTCCCTCTCTTCCATTGGGGCCCAGCAGACACAGCCAGAGGGAGGGAACTCTGGCATCAAGCAGGGGCTGTGTGTTTACACACGGCGCAGGGCGGTGGTCAGCCAGGCGTCCGAGGTCTAACACCGTGAACCCAAAGGGAGAATCGCTTTGATTGGACAGAAACGGTTCCTGCTCCTTATTGAGCCTGAGATGATAGAAGTCTTAACGGCCTCTTCCCAGAGACACAGTTCCTCGTGTCGGTGAGAGCCAGGCAAGCTCCAGCCTCCAAAGAGGAAAGGCTCTTTCGGGTCTCTTCTTTCTCCCTGCACCTCCCCTGGAGCGTTCCCCCGAGATTTCACTGGGCTCAGACCTGGCATGTGCACAGCATCCGGGACCTGCAGTAAGGGAGCTGCTGCCTGTACCGGGACTCACCCCTTGCCAGCCCTGATTACAGAGTGAGGGACCCCTGGGGTGGCTCTAGAAAGGGCAACAGGGGGCTGCACAACGGGCGATGCTCCAGAAACTCTGGTCGAGTCTGCAGTGTGAGGAACGGCTCCTGCGGGGAAGACCTGAGACCAGGGGAGTTGCCCTAGGCAGGGAGGCCTGCGAGAGACCCTGACCCAGGGGAGCCTGCAGAGGCCCCAGCCAGGAAGGCCTGGGAGGAGAAAGAGAAAGCTTGGGTTGGGGGCCTTAGGACTAGACTTGGTTTGGGGAGTGGAGGGTTTGGATGGTTTATTTTATATTGATAAGCCCAGGCCCCAAGAAGGGGTATTTTTGCCTGGAGGGAAGTTTTATTTGAAAAGTCCAAGAGGGGAAACGGAGGCCGGCTGCCTCTAGGGTGACCGCAGGCCACGGGGGGTGCATGGGAGGCTGCTGGCCTGGTTCCACTGTCTCACTAACTAGCAAGCTATACTAGCGGTACAGTCAGGCCCCAGGCCTGCACAGCTGCTGAGTATGACGGTGATCATCTTGACACATCTCCGCCACACGAGAGAGGATGAGTTCCCTCCCATGCTGCCCAGTCTAGCAGCGAGTTGCTCCTACAGACAGGCCCAAGGGACCGGCACGGCACTGCCTTTGGACTGCAGGGTTTTCTAGTCCGCTCCAGGCAGGAGAGAGTCCTTACGGGTTAGAATATTGCCTGAGCATTCGGCTAGGGCCGTATCTGATGGATGTGATGTGCAAGTGGATGCTTAACACTGGCACCGCTCTCCAGAGGCATAAATAATGGTGGAATGAAAAGCTGGTATGGATTTAAATGCCAGCAAAGAAGAAATAGTCTTGTGCTTGTCAACTGCAAGCCATTGACCCTGTGCAACTCACGGGACCGGCCTGGGGTTGGACTGAGGAGAATACCTAGCGCTGATGGATCTTGTTTCTGTCTGTCCCCTGGAGACGGCGGGCCAAGGTCTGCCCTTGGAGGTGTAGGCACCCTTCTAACAGAGTCACTGCAACTTGTCCCAGTGTGCCAGGGCCTTGACCGAACTTTGTCTGTCCTTTCCCAAGCTGCCCACCCTTGCCTTGGTCCAGACGAAGCGCTTCAGCGTCTGCCCCTTGCAACGTCTGGTTTTGTTGTGCAGCGCCCTCTTTGCTCTGCAGCTGCTGCTCATTAGCCAGGTTCTCTGCATGGTGCCTTTGGCATGGGGCTGCTCAGACTTGCCTGAAATGGTTAACAGAGAACCCCAGCGTGTTAAGGGCACCTTTGTGCCCCATGGCCGTTGCTCGGGTGCCTCGGGCTGGTTGTAGGTAGCCACTGAGGTAGCGCACTCCAGCGGGAGCCAGTCCCAGTTCGCTTTACGGGCTATAGCCCAAAGGTGAGCTTTTGCAGGTGCATATTCAGGTTTATACACCTGCTTAAGTGCTTTGCTGAGTTGGAGACTGAGCATCCCAAGGAGCATTAAGCCACCTCTGGATGCAGAGCGGTGGCTGGCAGGTGTGCGGGCATGCTTCAAAAGACACACTCTGTGGCAAACACTTAGCAGCGAAGAAGGAGAGACCCTGGGTGAGACCTCGTTACCATGTCCTGCAAGCCCAAGTTTGGCCCAGTAGGAAGAGAAATGAAAATGTTGGCTCCGTCCCAGCCAACGCTCGGTTCTCCTGTGAGCTTGCAGGGCTCAGGAGTGCTGCAGGGCTGGTGCAATTTGAAAGTACTTTTTAATTCGTGGCATTGATGGGACAAAACATCTGAGTTAACTGACGTAGAACTAGGGAAGGACATTAGCCAGACCCCCAGAGCCAGACTCTGGGGCAGTTTGGATCTGCAGACAGTGCTGGGAAGGAATCCTGACTACTCCACGCAGGCCCACGGGGAGAGCTCTGCGAAAGTCCTGCCTCCTGGGAGGCCTGTGCGTCTGCACGGTGGGAACAGGAGCAGCTGGCTCGGAGAAGATAGGACTGTGCTTAAAGCTTTTGCCACCTCCTGTAAGTAACCCCATTAGAAGGGGCTTCGTAGCCCATTCCTCCCTTCGTGTATTGTGTTTAGACTGGGGTGGAGGGGGGAGGGGCTCCTGTGGCTTTTGACGGAGCCGTGGAAAGTCCCCAGATGGGAGCATTCGGTTCACAAGGCAACAGATCCCATTTTAGTGCTCAGTAACTCCAGCCCTCCATAAACGCTAGAATTCTCCCAGGGCGGGCTGCGGAGGTGAGTGGGGAGGAGGAAGTGTGGGAGGATGAGAGCCCTTCCAGGTGTTTAGCTGGGATCATTACAACCTAGCAGCTGCTCTGTGTCTGACTGCACCCCAGGGAGTCCCTGGCCCTCCTAGCAGTCGGGGAGGGGGCTGGGGGGGCAGTGTTCCATTTCACGGCCCTGGCGGTAGGACTAAACGTATAGAATTAGGATGATAACACTTTACACTTGGTGCTTTTACATTTTCTTTCCAAAGGGCCTTACACACAGTAACTAGTTCATCCCTGGAGCCTTCCTGGGAGTTGGGTAACCCGATGTGACTAACCCCATCTTCAGCTGGGGAAACTGAGGCACTCGGCAGGCCACACCCAGATCTAGGGGAAGAGGGTGCAGTTCTCCTGGGCCAAAGTGGGTGGGGCTGTGAGTGGTGATGTAAGTTGCCCATTGGGCTCGTGGTACTAGTGCGTTGGCCATAGCCTTGGTTGGACAGCGCTGTTGTTGCACCATGTTGGCATTCAGTGAGTGTGCAAAATGAGCGTGAGGTGTGCTGGCCCAGCAGGAGGGGGTTGCATGTGGGTTAAGATCACATAGCTTTCCTGCCCTGCTTTATGTTACACCCCAACAGTTAGCGGTCTGTCTGGCTAATGCCCCTTCTGCCTAGGCAACATGTAGTGTTACACACCTGCTGGCTGGGTGACTGTGCGTGCGAATTGGGGCACTGGGGCCTCACTGCTGGCAGGAGTTACCCGACCGGCTCTGTGACAGGGCAGGAGGGTACAGGGTCCTGCATGCCAGGCTTGGCCTCCCCCTGCCTTTTTAGTTCCTTGCAAAGCTCCTGTCCGCTCCCTGTCTCTGGAGGCAGGTGCTGGCTGAAGTCTGCATCCCTCAATAACGGAGCATCGCTTGC